TGACGAGCCTAACGTTCTTTTATCTGCATTGCAAGTGATTTTGAAAGTGTGAAATTGCACTGTGCCCGTTCCACATTTTATTTGCTTCGGCCCGTCCGCTTGTTTTAAATGCTACGGTTCGGCCTACCAATGGGCCGTAACTTATTTTAACAATCTTATCCCACCCTTCGTTTTAACTTTCTGACTTCGGCCCCTCCACATTTTGTTTTCTTTGGACGGCCCACTTGTTTTAAGATTATGATTCGGTCTCCTAGCGGCTGCAATTCATTATTACAATTAAAGCATTGAATTACCTGCACTGGCCAACAGGAAACTGTTCACAGCGGCGCTTAAAAGAGCAGCATTGCCAGAGGCAAGCAAGGCATTTATATCGGAGAGACTTGAACCATTTTCTGGGTTATGCAAATGCTCGGTCAATTTGGTGCTTTTCGCAGAATCCGACGATGTTGCCTGATGACGATGATGATGGTGGTGCTTGTTTTTCCTGAAAAATTAATGATGACAATGCTTGCCTGTTGACTTTAATGATGCTTTTTTTTCCTAAAAAGTTAATAAAGCTAAAAGAATCGCATAAAATAAAACGCAGAAACCTCTCCTTGGAGAAAAAATGGTCCTTTTTCATCATCCTTCAATTGAAACAAAAAGGTAAATAGATTAAAGGATTTAACGCTTTCTTTATTTCCAAAAATGTAGTGGTAAAGCGTTTTCAAAAGTGTAACCTGAGCTAACAAAATTTGACAAAACAGAATCTCCCACTCAGAGGAGACGGTTTTCGCAACCACTTTTATCCACTTAATTCGATGAAAAGAGAGTTGTAAAAAAATACGATAAAAAAACAAAACGGCGATTAATGAAAGGAAGATTTCTCAAAGAAACAAGGGCAGAGGTACAAGGGAAGAGAGGCTAATATGAATCGACAAGACGCAGAAACTGGACGGTGTGAAATGTGGAACCAACTACACAGCAAGCGAAGATTAAGGGCCGGATCGGGTTCCAGGGAGTGGGTGCAGATGATGAAGTTTAAAGGGATGTTTAAAGCCAAAACCTGTCTAAAATACGACTTCTAAAGAAATGTGAAAAAAAAATTAGACTAAAAAAACCACTGATATAAGCTAATTAAAAAACTGAAAAAATAAATAAATGCGGTGCGTGAGAGTGCATAAACGAAAAAAAAAGCAATTTGTAAAAAAGCACCTCTCTAATGTGCGATCGTTGCTTGCTGTGATCGGAATTACGGCAACAAGTTCGTTCAAATTCTCACGATAAATTCCCAGTGGAGGACAGCAGTTAGAGGAACGTTGAGGTGACTTTTTGCCATCAGAAACTGCTAGCAAGTTGGAGGTGTCCTGGTTCACATCTGGGCCCGTTGGACTGTTCGACCTGGTGTCTATTACCAGTCCTTCAGTCCCGGAAGAAATCGACGATGTCTCCGAGGCATCCACTGGTGCTTTTCGGTCGGCATAAAGTGCCGTCGAATCATAGTGCTGCTGAGAACTAAAAGATGTTAGTAGTGCATAACACTGCTCTAACAGATTTCGAAAAGAAAAAAATGCAAAATTCCAGTGCTGTGCCCCCCCCCCTCCTCATCCTCCCATCCCCTCGTGATTTTAGGAACACTATCTTCCAGAACAGAGCATTTTTCGGAATTTGGAAGCTGGATTTCACCAAGGGGATAAATGTACACATCACGATGCAAAAAGTGCTTTTCTTCAGGTAGCTAATAAGCTGGGAAATGGTTTTTTCCGGGCACAGTACTCTTTTGCAATGTGAAAAATGCTTCTCCCCTCACTCCAGTTGTAATGCCAAATGTAGTAGAAATCTTAAAGATACAAACAATGAATATCTCTGGCCGGGAGGTTGGAAGAAGACGGGAGCCTGAATTTTTCTGTGTGTTAACATATGCAGTTTGTTTGGTGTTACTGGCCTATCAAATTGCTCCAAAGGTGCATATTTAGGTGCTAATTGCTCCTTGAATTTATTTTACGCCTCTCCCAAATTCCTTCTGCATAAAAGCGTACTACGATATGAGATAAACCATAATGCAAATAAGAAGTGATTGCACTGTCCAGTGAGGTCAAAAACAAACCCAGACAGTTAATATCACAAATCTTCGATATTAGTACCAAATTTCTTCTCCCTCACACACCGATGTGTTTCTGTTTATATTGGAAAATCAACAAAAAAGAAAAAATGCGTAATTTAACTTTTTAGAAATTCATGCCAACGATTATCAACAAAATTCAGTGCATTTTGAAGTTTTCCCCTGCCTGTTCAGATTAACTA